CCCCTGTGGTCGGGGAGAGTTTACTTTCGAGAGTTCACACCGCCAGTCAACTGTGTGTGTGACAACAGCTGTACTACTGGGCCGGGGAGAGGCTGCGTGTGTGGTGGACGCGCGTCCCACAGGCAGACCTCAGGCTTTCCATTCCCTCTCAGAGGTAGCTAGTCATCTATTTGCATCCCTTCTGGAAAAACTGTAATGCTCCTCCCGCCCTCCCCCCTTCGCAGGCAATCCTACTAGGATCAAAGAAAAATCTTACCAAGAACTTACTAGCTAGTGAGTCTCTGGCTGTGTCTGCATTGGCGTGATTTTGTGCACAAGCGGCTGCTTTTGTGCAAATCAAGTTGCCTGTCTACACTGGCGGGGAGTTCTTACACAAGAACACTGACGTTCTAATGTGTGAAATCAGGGCCTCTTGCACAAGAACTCTGATACTCCCGCTCAGGAATAAGCCCTCTGGCGCAAGGGGCCAGCGTAGACAGGCAACATACATTTCTTGCGCAAGAAAGCCCGATGGCTAAAATGGCCATCAGAGCTTTCTTGCACAAGAGAGCGTCTACGCTGGCATGGACGCTCTTGTGCAAAGGCACATGCGTTAAAGAGTATTTGCGCAAGATCATGCCAATGTAGACGTAGCCTATCTGTATCAGTGAAAGACGAATCAGACTCTATGGCCATATTATTACTATTAGGCATGCTGAATTAAATTTGTAGAGTTACTCCAGGTGTAAGGAACTAGCCAACGTGAGTAAAGAATGGCAAAAATCTGACTCCATATGAATGTTTTCTTTACTCCTACCATGTTTTGACTTTATTGTGAGGGTATTTCAAGGTCACTTCCTCAAATTTCTTTTTCAGATGCTGGGATGAGTTCCAGCACAACTGTGAAACAGATGAAGAACTTAGGAAAAGAATAAACATACCTTCGGAGAAAACTTCAGAGGCACCGTGAGCCTAACTAATACCCTATTCCCTTGTCAGCCAAATAATAATTTATTAGAAAAATATTTCTCAACATTAGACATTTTAGTACTTTATAGTAGTAGCTGTTTGCATTAACATTACAAAAATAAAGTACTTGATTCATTTGTAAACATAGCACATAGTGCACTTAATTGGACAGTGCAACACTTGCAGAAAGCTGAAAAAATGTTAACTATTTAATCAACACCTCCTATGAAGGGAATATTATATTCACTTCAAATTGCGAAAATGAAATATAGAGGTGCACGGAGCCTGGAGACACTAGACCTAGGGAGAGAATTCAGGCGTAATGGTTTGAAGTCAGTTCACTATGCATTCTGTCAGATTCTTTTGTCTCTCTTTGCTCTTGGCTCTGAGCAAATATAAATACAACAATTTCAATGTCTAATGGAGTAGTCATCATAGTTGCTGCATCACTTGGGGTGCGTCTACACTGCACCCTTAGCTCGAAATAAGACACTCTATTTGCATAGTGCAAATTGCATATCTTATTTTGAAATTTGGCATGTCTACACCAACGAGGTCTATAGGGATACCAAAATAGCGTGTCCACTATATTTTGTAATAGTGAACACAATCAAAAGACACAGAGTAGCTATTTCAGTTTACCTCTGGTTTCCCAAAATAGCATTTGCAGTGTAGACGTACCCTTGGAAATTGACACTCCAACAAGAGCTCGACATCAGTTCTAGCTGAAGATCAAATTATGGGCTGGAATGATTGTTCTACTGCCAGGCTTTACCCAATATGAATTGATTGAAATAACTTCTGGATTAACTGTTTCCCTCACTACCTGCTCATCCAATGATCTGAAAATTTTGTCAACTGGAAAAAGTATTGTGGTTTCTCCCATGGTCTTTATTTTTTAAAATATAAAGTTGTACACAATCATAAGTGAAATAGAGATCATTAATGGTCTATGGTCACATAAAAGAATAAACATGAACGCTCACATTGAATTATAATGTACCTAAATAGTCCATAACATAATAGGGCTGTCATACATATACGTGGAAGATAATCCTACTTAACTTCTCTGGCGGTGTTCATGTTGCTAGTAGATTATTTTGGACCTGGTGGTTTGGAAGCATTAGTGAGAGAGAAAAAACCTTAAGGATTGCCTTGGGGACCTACCCTCATTTTTCTTTTGGGGGTATATAGGGAATTTGTTCAGAAAGGCTACTTCAAAACCTGAGAGGCCAGAGCCATCTGTCTGAAAATCCTATAATTGGCCCACAGTGCAACGTCAGGAATTTTTCTCTTGCCTGCGTCTGTCCATTTGCAGTGGTCAGAGCTGTATAGAAAAGATCATGCTACGCCACATGGATAGCTGGGAAGCTGTGTGACTGTCTTTGTCCTGGCCCTTAATTCATCCATAACTTCAGTTATCTTGTTTCCATGCCTTTTCTCTGTGTAACCCCAGACTTAGAGTTTCCTTTTCAGGGCACAAAGGAGAGATGGTACCAGAGAGATAGCCATTGTTCTTCAGTGAAGGAGTGATGGGAGTTCTGTGCACCAAGAATCCTTTTTGTGCATAGAGCGGGGAAGGACTCAGGTCCCGTACACCAAGGGTGTGCAAAGGGTGCTAAAGCATCCCCTGCCCAAGTTCCGCCAAGTAAACATGCTGTGCGCTGCCTGAGCCTTCCTCCCCCATGCTCTGACCAGCTAGAGGAGGGCTGGGACTGATTTCCCTGCTTGGGGGAACCATGATGGGTGCATTCACACCCTTACAGTTCCCATTTACAAGAAAAGCACCCCCTCCCACCCATTTCACACACACACGTTCCTATGTACTGGCCCAGGACTATCCGGGTATGTCTAGACTACAGGGTTTTGTCGACAGAAGTTTTGTCGACAGATACTGTCGACAAAGCTTCTGTCGACAAAGAGCGTCTAGACTACATCCAGTTCTGTCGACAAAGCAAGCTGCTTTGTCGACAAAACCCTGTAGTCTAGACACAACCCTACATGCAATAACACCTTCTGTCGACAGAACTCTGTCGACAGAAGGCGTTATGCCTCGTAAAATGAGGTTTACCAGTGTCGACAAAACTGCTGAGTTCTGTTGACGTTATGTCGACAGAACTCAGTGGTAGTGTAGACACAGGTATAGTTTTGTCGACAAAAGTCCACTTTTGTTGACAAAACTCTGTAGTCTAGACACACCCTCCAGGACTTTATTTCTAATGCTCTCAGGGTGGAAGTTGAACACTGAAAGTTGTCAAAAATGAGTTTTCTATCCTACTTTAATGAGTTAACAATCAGAAGAAAATCATTACTTGGGAAAGGTAATCATGTTTGTCTGTATCTGCAAAAACTATGAGGAGTCTCATAGACTTGAAGGTCAGAAGGGACCATTATGATCATCTAGTCTGACCCCTGCACAGTGCAGGCCACAGTGGATGTCCGCACTAGCCCAGGCGGGTGCCCGCCTCTTGCGGTCCCGGGCAAGCTCCCGGGAGCCGCCAGCCTGGTCCCGGGAAGAGGGGGAGGGCTGGGGGGCATCGGGTGGCTGGCTCGAGCCGTGCCAGGGGCAGGGTCTGTCGGGAGTGGGGGGCGGGGCCCTTTAAGCACAGCCCTCAGCTAGCCTGAGACAGGAGCTCCACACTCTTAAGTCCTCATCTGATGCCCTGCCGGCACTGCTTCCGGCCAACCTTAACCTCGGTTCAGGGTCCACTCCATGTGGACATGCTAGTTCGAATTAGCTTAGTTCGAATTAACTAATTCGAATTAAGTTAGCTCGAATTAGTGCTGTAGTGTAGATATACCCTATCAGATTTATTTAGGCATAAGCTTTCATGGGTAAAAACCCTCTTTCTCAGATGCACTGGAGTGGAAATTAATCTCCCTATGTCTATACAATAAGAATATATTGCCTTTTTTGATTCAACTGGCTACGGAAATGTTTTGGGCTCTGAGGTTATTTTAATTGGAAGCAGAAATTGATGTCAGTGTCTGTTTTTTTTTTTTAATTCAATCTTGTTTATTTATAAGGAATAGTGTCCCATGTCTCTAAATACAGGAGGAAGAAAAAATGAACATGAAGCTAGATTACAGCCGGTCCCAGAGTTGCAAATGGTTGAGTTACAATAGTTCGCATTTATGACCAAAGCTCCCATGGAGCAGTCATAAAAGCGGTCCCCGAGTTACAAACGTGACCCGCGTTTACGAACAGAGCAGTTGCTATGTACCTCAATGGGGTCCGAGTTACGAACAGATCGAGTTACGGCCAAGTGTTTGGTCCGTAACTCGTTCGTAACTCGGAGAGAAGCTGTAGTTGCTTACAGTCCCAAGCCTCTTAGCATCAGCCCTAGAACTTCCTCAAGGCTTCTCCAGGGTCACATTGTGCTTTGACATGGCGGGGCTCTCTTCCTCTGTTTCATTTTTGTCTGCTCTGCTTCCCACCTCCCTCCCCCAAGACTCCTTACCAAGGCCGTCCAACCCTCAGCAAACCCCGCTGCCCTCTCAATGCACAAATCCTGAGTGGGTTAACAAACCCTTTTGACTTAGAGGGTTGGTTTGTGATTAATTTGTCCTGATAGTTTTATTAAGTGAAGGACATACTCACACCTGATCCTAAAGACGCATTTGATCCATGCAATCACCAGTACCTCGCAGCATAAAAATATATGTGCCTTCATCACTTGGATGCTGAATGTATTGATAAAATATATTTTGGAGAAGAAACCTAATTACAGTTCTGGAAAATGTTTAATGGACAAATATTTGTCTGTAGATTTAAAAAAGCTACAAACTACAGATCAGTTGTTTGTTAATTTAAGTATACATGGTTTGTAGTTTGATTGAATTTATTCTCCTATAGCTCCTACTGTGCACTAGCATTTGAGAAAATGTTCATGTTTTGCAGTTTTTTAGCAAGCACTGGCACAGACTCCCATTATGGTCAAGTCTGTCTCTTCCTTTTTCCCCTTTGAACCTTTTGCTGATATTCATATCTGGGACTGAAGCAAAATGGTGAAGATGAAGAACTCTGACTGACTAAGTCTGCTCTAGTGTCTCTGACACAATTCAATGGACAAATAAGGAGCAGTGGGAACAAATGAGAAACAGATTTACTCATGTTTTGTTTCGTCCTTCGTGTGAAAATGCGAAGTACTTAAGTTTCCACAGTTTGTCGCACTATATTTTGGAAGTTTTCCCTTCCTCCGATTACTTCTGATATTGCCATTGATTGGTGGCTAGCAGAAAAAGAAGCTGAATATTCATATTGTTTAGCTGACAAATATATGGATTCTATGGGAATGATCATGTGATCAACCCGTATATGAAATTGGCATCTTTTTGGGAATCAATTACTTTTATTCTAAGAGTATATTTCTCTGCAAAAGCTCTTGCTGTTTGATACTCTGTTCATGGCAATTACAAGGAGAACCTCTACAAATTTTGTTCTGCTTTTCTACTGGTAACATCCTTTTTTATAAGCTAAAATCTACTGTGGATTTGTTAAGTGAGAAATGGTGCAGCTTGTCTCATCTTCTGTTCTGCTTTGTGCACTGAAATCACTCTCAACATTCCAAAAGGTCACAAGGTAAATTCAAAATTGTGAGATGAATGAGAGCAACATGAAAGGATAAAATACTTCAACAGTTTGTTGCCCCTGTCTACATCCTTCAAGTTGTTCACAATTTTGCATTAAAAAAACACCACCACAAAATCTTGGCTTGATTCTCAGTTCAGTTAGGTTACTGGTTATGATGGAATCACATAACTGGAACACAACTTGATAGAGTATTTAATTACAAATGTTTTTGTCTTCTACAGGGGATAGATTATGCTTTCTTAATCTAACATGACATCGTGTCCTGTGACTCTATATCATGGTGTATTTGCAGAGTCTCTTGTTTATCTAATTTGATGCTGTCTGTTAAGGAATGACAATATTGTCATACTGTTTCTCTTTCCAACAGACACTGTCAAAATATTTTTCTTTAATCAAATAAATAATTTCCCTATACTCTTACTTACATGGAGCAGTCTCACTGAAATCAATTAGATTATTTGAGACATTAAGGTATGACTGCCTAAATAAGTGTATCATTATCTAGCCCTTGGAACATTATACTTGAATTCTGTTTTTTACAAACATTTTTCTCCATTCCATGTAAACTGTACACAATGTTGCATAATTATGTGAGCTAAGCTACTAGCACCTTTAAAATTATAAACAGGGGAAAAAAAGAAACAACTGTAGAATGAGCCCCCTACTTCCAATAAATTGTAGACTTCACAAAAAACAAACAAGCCTGAAATTGCACTTAATCAACTTTGCCAGTCTCTTCATATCATTAAAAATGTCAACTAATTCATATCACACAAGATCTGCAACAGAAATTTGTTTCAGCATTAGCCCTCTTGAGATGAAAATGTGAATTAATATAATTACTTTTGTATAATGGTTTTATGCTGTGGACAAACATCCACTAAGGAACAGATTGAAACCAATTTTATACCAGTTTTTCTCTGGAAAAAAAAAAAGACCTGTTCAGCAGAGGATCATGGGGTTTAAAGACAACTGAAAAATTGTGCACTTGAGCAAGTTTTACATTGGATAATGTGGATTTGATTAAACCAGGCCAGTTTCCAGCCAACTTGCTAGTCTCCCCAGTTGCTCCTGGATCACCTGTCCCCCAGCCATGTAGCTTGCAAAAATCCATTTTGTCCTGAAATAAGAAGGGGTTTTCTTTTTCTTTTTGGTAGAAACATTTTTGTTTTGAATCTGAATTTAAAAAAAAACAAAAGCCACAAGATGTAGTGAAAAGGAATTCCCATTGTCCAACCAGTCTTGAATTTCACTCATTCAGTATCAGATTTGATCAGTTTAGAACAGGGCTATTCAACACGTGGCCCGCGGGCCATTTGTTTTTGGCCTGAGGTGCAACACATGGTCCGCAGGTGAGATCCTATGAACATGGCCTCCAATGGGAACACACTCTACAACAGTGAGTCAATATAATGGTTTTCTGTTGATATACATTTTAGTAATTACATTCCTAGACTGTTATTGCTCATTTAAAGTGCTGCCATACAGGTGGAAATCGGGTAAATATTGCATTTTATTAGTATCAGTAAAACTGACTTCATTGAGGCCTGCATGTTGTGTAGTCTTCTCTTAATCTTTGTATTCATGCGCATCAGTGTGAAAAAAGCTTTTTGCATGTATTTGCATATATATTTGCATGTATATGCAACCACACTTAAGGTGTGGCTCTTTGCGTGTGCTGTGAATATCATTGTGGCCCGTGGGAATTCCAAAGTTGAGTAGCCCTGGTTTAGAGCTTCTAAGTGCTAGTCAAGCTAGATTTCTAAGTGTTTGTTCATTAGCTCAAGATACAGCCTGACTGCCAACTGTACTGATTTAATTAAGAATTTCATGATATTTGGGTTTTTTTCATGACTCCAAGGGCTTTTAGAAAATCTGAAGTTCTCCATCACATTTTAAAAAAAGTTTTAACCCTCATGGTTGTGAAGGAAAAAAAGCTTGAAAATATAAACTAGAAGACAAACAAAAATATTCATTGGGATGGCAAGATCAAAGCCTTATAAAAGGTATCCCTTCATAGAATCCCATCTACATCAAAATTACTGGCAACTATTAAGTGAAATTTATCTTGAGGAAAGATTTCCTTCATATATTCTGTAAAAAGGAAAAGATGGGCTGCAGTATTTTCCATATTCTCACAGTAACAAATCTGTTACACTGTATTTATCATTTCATGTCTTTTTGGTATAATGCACAGGGAAGCTAAAATAACTGGTTATTTGCATGCAAAGAAAATCAGTAAGTACAAAGTTTAAAAATTTTTCATTTAAGAGTTCCATGTTAGTCTAATTGAGTGGTTACTTTAAGATAATTTAATAACTTAACATTAGAAGGTGTCTGGGCACATAAAGCATGGTTTAACATAATTTATAAAGTTGTTACAACAAGATGCATGTGACAAACTGTACTGCATAGTGAAATGGATACTGCTCTTTTAGAAAAGTACTGAAAACGTGTGTATCTCTTTTGAGTTTACTGATGAATCAGTTTCCAGCAAGAGTGTACAGGCAAACAATAAAAGGCATCTGCAAATTAGGACAAATATTTTAACTACACATACAAATTGACCATTACATTGCATCAAACTGACACAGCAGCATAGAAGTGCAACAAAATCAAATGCCATTCCATTTTACAACAGCAAATTTAAAATTATGAGAAACCTAATTAAAAAAACCTCTTAAAAAAAGTCCTTTGTTCAGGTACAGTAATATCCCTCACTTAACATTGGCTGGGTTAATGTTATCTTGCTTATCTATTAGCGCACATACTTGTTTAATGTTATAGTATTGTTTGGCTGCCTGTTTTGTCCACTACTTGCAGGATTTTACTGGAAAAGCGGCCTGTCATTGTGGGGGTTTGGAACCAGGGTGGAATGGCAGCCCCCCAAAGTTCCTTGTAAAGTGTGTGGCTGAGCAGCTGCAGTTCAGCTGCCTCTCCTCCCACTGCCAAGTTGCTTTTACTCTCTGCCTTGGAGCTGCTTAGCAAGCAGGAGGCTCCCAGGAGCAGCTGAGCAGGGGAGGAGTAGAAAGGGTGCTGATGTCAGCACGTCCCCCTGACCCTTCCGATGAGCCCCCCATTCTGTAACCCACCTCCACAAGCAGGATCACAGCTGCAGAGTCCTGACTCTGGACTTTCTGGTCTGCAATAATGTGTTTAAAAGGGCAGTGTACTTGAAGTGGGGTCAGTATACAGGCAGTCCCCGGGTTACGTACAAGATAGGGACTGTAGGTTTGTTCTTAAGTTGAATTTGTATGTAAGTAGGAACTGGTACATATTGTAGGGGAAACTCTAGCCAAACATTTCTCCAGAGCTCAGATTTATTGTCCCACACCTCACTTCCCTCAGTCCTTTATTCTCAAGCTGAGGTGTCTGCTGAGAAAAGCTGCTTCGCATCTCCCTGGTCTGCTGGGGGGAAGCAGCTAGTGCGGGGTTGCCTCACCCCGTTTGTAAATAGGGATCCGATATAAGTCGGATCCATGTAACCCCCCGGGGACTGCCTGTACTTAAAAAGAGCAATGTGCATTTCTGTCTGTCTAACACACACACACACACACACACACACGAGTGTGTGAGCCTGTCTATGTCTGTCTCTCTCTCTCACACCCCTTGGCACTGTGCAGCCTTGCATGTGCCTATCTGGAGGAGAGAGCAGTGTGCACCAGCAGAATCTTGAGTTCATCATCATGCTCAGTTTCTGCAGGGAAGTGTTTGCAGATACTGCTACTTCTGCGTGTTTCTTCCCTCCCACCTCAGCCCATGCTTCCTTGCAGAGTATGAGGCTACATTAACAATAATGTTTTAACCCTTGTGGGCTCAGCCAAGTGCTAATTCATCATTTAGTAGCAAGACAATCACTGGGAAATGTTCCATCCCCGGACTCCACCACATCAACCAAACTTCACACTCATCATTGATGTGTACAGTATTAAATTGTTTTAAATTGTTTAAAACTTATATGTCTTTTGTGTGCTGAAAACATTTTCCTGGAACTTAACCTCCCCCCCATTTACATTAATTTTTATGGGAAAACTGGTTTCGCTTAACATTGTTTCACTAAAAGTAGCATTTTTCAGGAACATATCTACAAAGTTAAGTGAGGAATTATTGCACTGATAGCATTGACAAGTCTGTCAATAACAGCAAGAAATGCTGTAGTTAGTAAAGAATGAACTTCTATAACTGTCCATTTAAGTTTAGCAGCATTTAGCGTAGGAACACTTTTTGTTTGGAGATATTTGATAGTAATGCCAAAATTGAGGCAGCTGACACCTTACTGGAAACTTAAATCCCCCGCCCCAAAAACCACACACCACTTCTTCTTTCTTTTTCAAATATTATGGTGACTTATAATTGTAAACACTAGGCTCCACAGCACAGTGGATTTGATGATGGAAAATATACATATTAAACTCAACATTTCAAAATAGTGCATGTAAAAATCCTGGTTACTAACAACAGGACTTAAGTGTAAACCTTAGAAGAACAGTCTGCAAGGAAATAACTTGAAGGTCAGCCAGCTTATTTACTTTCTTACCCAGGGCTGAGCAATTTGGAATTCTTCCTGCCTTTGGCAGGGGGGCTGTACTTGTTGACCTCCTGAGGTCTCTCTTCCAGTTCTATGATTCTAAGTTGTGGCCCAGGGATATGATCCGACCCGTGGACTGCATCTGGCCACTTGCTACTTATATCCTGCTGCCTGTGCCACTGAATTTCCAGGCAGTGGCTCAGGCAGCAGAATACTATTTAAATAGCTCCCGGTCATGGTGCTACCCTGGCAGAGGCCAGAGCTGCAAGCCCTTTAAATAGTTGCAGTAACTCTGGGTGATGGCCAGGCAATGTGGTAGTGGTGGGGGCCAGGAGCTATGAGCCTTTTAATTCAAAGCCTCCGGCCCTGACAACTCTGGGGGAAGGCTAGTCTCCAGCCCTGCCCCTTCTGCCCCATACCCTGCCCCTTTGGGAGTCGGTGGAGCTGGCTTGTGACTATGTACCAAAATTCATTGAGTGGCCCCCCTGCAAAAATTATTGTCCACACCTTTTTTACGTGTTAAATGGTGCATTTGCCCTACTATAGAGAAGCCATCTTGAATATTTTAGAAAAGTATCCTTGAAAATTAACAAACAAGAACTAGATAATGAAAATATAACATCACCAACAAAATTGCCAGAAAAAGTACATTTTAGTACTGCACTTCACAATACCTTTGAATGATGGCTCTCATATGAAAGACGATATGAGTTGGGAAAATAGTGACTATAAGTTTTGAAATTCAGGCCCTCTTGAGGGAATTAAAAAAGGGAGGAGAAGAGCTTATTTTGTGGCATTCATTGTGTTTTCCCCTATGTACATTGTTTTGTAAATTATATCAGTGATTCAAAGAAAAATATTCAGCTTCTGCTTTCATTTGGGAGAGTTAATTTTGTTTTTAGATTTCGGAGAAAAACAACCTGATCTTTCTGTACAACAAGGCTACGTCTACATTGGCATGATTTTGCACCAGAACTCTTTTGCAGAAGAGTTCTTGTGCAAAAACTCTTCCAGAAGAGAGCGTCTACACTGGCATGTGCCTTTGCGCAAGAGAGGCGCTTTTGCACAAGAGCATCCATGCCAGTGTAGACGCTCTCTTGCGCAAGAAAGCGCAGCTGCGCAAGAGGGCTTATTCCTGAGCGGGAGCATCATAGTTCTTGCACAAGAAGCACTGATTTCATACATTAGAACGTCAGCGTTCTTGCGCAAGATCATGCCAATGTAGACACAGCCGAAATGTTCAAAAGACAGATGGGATTCACGCTATTTTGCATTTAATAAAACTGAAGTAGCTGTTCAGGTGTATCTTCACAAGAGGATGAAAATATAGAAAATATGACCAACAAAAATGTATTATGTTTTTGAAGCACATAAAAACAAATGTGAGATGTTCTAGTGCTTACTGTTTGTGCTGCCCTGTTGTCATTAAAATGAATTTCCTGAAGGAAGAAAGGTTTTTTGTATTAGATTTATCTGGAATAAAGGTGGGTATGTATTTTTTCAGTACTTTTACATTTATTTATTTAAATAAAGCAAATTCCATTTATACAAGGCTACACTGTAATCTCTGGTGATGAGAGTAATGGATGTAGATCTTGGATTTTCATTTTCCTACTTCAGATCCCACTAAGTTTTTTGAAACAATGATGACTACCAGTTAAAAATATATGGAGTTCCCAAAACAGAGCCTCCAGAAAGCAGTATTTCCAGTATGATGCCCAGCTTAAGGCAATCAGTTTTGACAAACTAATTGGTTGTTTTTGTGTGTGTGCATGCATGCTGAATGCTGGCATGCTAAGGAAGCTTCTCAAAATAACAGAAAACAAGGTGCTATCACCATGTTCAAAGACAGGTGAAGTATTTTGGTACCAGACCAAACTGACTCCCCCCCAAGTCCTGCTGTGCTTGGAGAAACCTGCATTTTTTTAATAACTCAGTTTATGTCCATTTTATTGACTGAAAATCACTTCTGATGTGCAATTAGTATCTGTAAAATCAAGAAAATTGCAAAACTTTCCTTTGCACTCAGTATTCTTCTTTAAAGACCACATCCATAAAGATAGCGGGTGCATATGTAAGGATAAAACTAGTCAAAAAGGTTTGAATTGAGCCGTTTTCCAATGAAAAAGGGAGAGAATTTCCTCATTTCTTATGAAAATATTTTCCAATTTTCAACCAGCTAAGAAAGAGATTCAGTCAATAAATGGGCCAAAGGACCCAAGAAAGATCTGGCCGACTTGGTATTTTCTTACCATGCTTAGCCTTAAATCCACCCCTAAAGGGAATGTCTTCCACACATCATAAAGCATTTGTTTGAGAACAGGGCATTAACATTTCTACACAAAGATAAACAAAAGTGGAAAATGTAAGGGTTTTTTAAATTATTTTTTAAAACATTTCTGTTCAGTGTGGTATATTTGTTAACGGTGGTATATTTGTTAACTATTCCAATCAAATTCTTGACCATCACTGCCACATGGAATGTCAACCATTTAGCATTCAGTTTCTGTGGAAGTGTTTTCTTGCTTAGTTTTTTTTTCTTCTGTTGCACTGCCACAGGCCACCACTAGATTAGTTACACTGCTGGCATGTCCTGGTCTATTTAATTTGTCCTTAATGGACTTGGCTTTCCGAGAATGGCTGTGTAAACTCTTTGAGCGTACAGATGGGAATCCACACGTCCTGTCTGGATTCACTGACAGTAAGTTTTCTTTTTCAGTTCTGTCGGTAACAGGTATAGAAGTATGGGAGGCACTGACACCTGCTTCACCAACATCGCTGTCCTCTTCTGTATCTGTCAGTAATTGTTTTTGTTCTGCTTGCTTTTCTGCTTCAGAAACACCAGGATAGTCTGGACTAGGTTCATCACAAAGTTTCTGTTCAACCTGGTATTTCCACTCACTGGTCCACTGTTCAATTGTGGAAGGATGCACTTTATCCATTATGGTGTTATATGCTGTAGTCCAGTTGTTGACCCCTTCAACCAGCTTCCCACCATGTGTAAATATAAAGCTCCTTGACTTTAGCATGGTTGTTTGACAAGCATTGAAAGCTTCAGCAGGGTAATAGCGCATTGCCTTAGATTTTTCTAAGGGGTAAGAGATAGTAGCTTCTAACTTGGTCCGTTCTACTGTTAAATGAGTGTTCTGAAAATCTGATCTTGTGACGGACTGTCCATTCATAAAAATATCTGTTTGGGTTATGCTCTGGGGAGTTATTTCATTACTCTTGGAAATACCTTGCTTGTTATCTCCTGAAACACAAACATCTGAATCAGATGGGGGTCTACTGACATTCTGTGCAATTTCTAAAGTAGTTTTATTGTAATCTGTAGAGGCAACTGTGTTTGCACTGTGGGTATAGCGCAGACTACCCTGACGTTCTGGAACTAGTTGCATCTTTGAGTCTGCATAATCTTTCTCTTCCTTTGTACCAAAATAATAGGCTTTTTTGCGCAATCCCAAGGCTGGTGACATTGGGGTGGTGCTATCATCAAAGGTTAACTCGTCACCACTGACATGATATCTGTACATGCTGTAGCCATCAGAACTGTTGACACTGCTTTGCCTTAGGAGGTAAGCTGCATCACATTCAGAAGAAGCTCGTGAGCGTGTATGCGTCAGCTCGGATTTGTCAATACCCGCCAGCTTTTCAAGGGCATTCACCATCCGACCAGATAGCTCTTCCAGTTGAGAAAGTCGAAGGTCAACGGTCTGAAGAGAAGCTTTCATAAAATGTTCTCTTTCATTCACTTCTTCCAACCTCATAGCCATGTTTTCCACTCTGTGGAATAGAAGAATAAGGGATTCATTAAATAAACTATAGAATGTTTTCAAATAACACACGATATGCCATCAGTTTCTGCAGAGTAGAGTGGAATTTTGCACAATACGCGTTCCTTACTGTAACTATGTCAAAGGTCATAAGTGCTGAATGTGCAATTTTCACAGACAGGGTGAAAATTGTGTCTCAGCAGAGAGCCAAACCAAGATTTCTGCAGCCCCTGAATCCCACGTAAGCTTTCAAAAAAGGATATAAGTTGTGCATAAGCCTTGTGCTGGCCTTCTGCACAGGATGAGTTTACAATATGTGCTATCCATTTATTTTAAGGAACAATTCACTGGTCTAATGAACAAAACATCTCCCCTTTTTGTACAAAAGTTGGTGTAATGCACTCTATAATATTGTGATTTTCCAAAAATAGAAGTATCTACAGGATGAACCTCTGTAGTCTGGCACTCTCTGGTCTGGCAATATCCATTGTCCTCATTTTGGAAAATAAAATGAAAATATACATGTTTCATTTGAATCATTGCTCTGGGTGGGGTGGGGTTGAGGGGTTCAGTATGCAGGCTGCCCCAGGAAGAGAGGACTACCCCAGCCCTCTTTCACCGCAGCAACTTGGGGTCAGCTGAGAAGTGCCTCTACATGGCTGCTGCAGCTCCAGTAAGCACCGCCAGGGAAGGGGTGCATGTCCCCTGGCTGGGACAAGTCCAGGTTCATCTGCCCTCTGTGGTCCCCAGGCAGCTTCACACCTGGCCAGGGGAAGGTATTTGAACACTCCCCTTCGTTTGTTCAAACACCTTCCCCTGGCCAGGTGTGAAGCTGGCTGGGGACCACAGAGGGCAGATGAACCTGGACTTGTCCCAGCCAGGGGACATGCACCCCTTCCCTGGCGGTGCTTACTGGAGCTGCAGCAGCCATGTAGAGGCACTTCTCAGCTGACCCCAAGTTGCTGCGGTGAAAGAGGGCTGGGGTAGTCCTCTCTTCCTGGGGCAGCCTGCATACTGAACCCCTCAACCCCACCCCACCCAGAGCAATGATTCAAATGAAACATGTATATTTTCATTTTATTTTCCAAAAAACAAAAATTAAGCTAAGGACCCGAGCAACTCCAGCTAAATCTAGTTCTCTCCCTAATTAGGGTACATCCACACTATGCAGCTATTTCAGGATACCGGAGGTATTCCAAAATAGCTATTCCACATCTTAACAAGCTGCCTGTTATTTTGAAATATTTTTCAAAATAACAGGCATGCTATTTCCGCATCCCTGTAAGCCTCATTCCATGAGAGTTGAGATGTCTCGAAATTGTGAATTATTTCAAAATTTGTGCTGTGTAGATATGCCAAATTTCAAAATACTCTATTTTGAAATAGAATCAAAGTAAGATGTACAATTTGCATAGCACAAATTTTGTATTTTATTTCGAGTTTGGAGTGCTGTGTAGATTCACCTTAGTTATTAAGTGTCCACCTCAGCCTGGATCAGTCCACATGAGAAATCCACTTCCTTGACACTACAGTACTATTAAATGATGGACACATTTCCACTACCCTGTACTGGAAACCTACCGACCGCTACACCTACCTTCATGCTGCTAGCTTCCATCTCAGACACATTTTCCAATCTGTTGTATACAGCCAAACCCTAAGTTACAACTGGATTTTCTCCAATCCCACAGACACACACAAACACCTACAGGATCTATATATAGCATTTTAAAAACTGAAATACCTACCCAGTGAAGTGAAAACACAGACTGACAGAGCCAAAAAAGTACCCAGACATAAAATACTTCAAGACAGGCCCAGAAGACAAAACAACAGAATTCCACTTATCACCTACAGTCCACAACTTAAACCCCTGCAACACATTATCAACACTCTATAACCTATCCTAGAAAATGACCCCTCACTCTCATAGGCCTTGGGGGAAAGGCCAGTTCTCGCTTACAGACAACCCCTAGCCTCAAACAAAATATTTCCAGTAACCATGCAACACACCTCCACCATAATCATCCAGGAACCCACTCCTACAATCAGCCCCGGTGCCAACTCTGCCCCACACATCTATACCAGTGATTTCATCACTGGACCCAATGATATCAGCCACCAAATCAAAGGCTCATTTAACTGCACATTCACTAATGTGATCTATGCCATCAAATGCCAGCAATGCCCCACTGCAATGTATATTGGCCAAACTGGACAATCTCTATGGGAAAGAATTAATGGACACAAATCAGATATCTGAAAAGGTAACACACAAAAACCTGTTGGAGAACACTTTAATTTTCCTGGACACTCATTAATGGATCTTCAAGTCACTGTTTTGTTTCAGACCAATTCCACAAGCCAAATACACAAGGAAGGACTGGAACTGAACTTAATTCACAAGTTTAATTCTTATGCTAATGATCTGAAGAGGGATATAGGATGGCTCGCACACTATCTTCCACCTTTTAATGACTTACACAACCAACCAAACAATGGAGGTGCTAATGGTTCTTAACAGCCTCTGGTAACTATTTGCACTGTCTACTCCCTGTCTCTCTTCCCCTCCACTCTCCTCTTCTTCCCTTATTTATTCTTGGATCTGGACTTCTTATACTCCGGTCATCTGAAGAAGTGGGTTTTGCCCACGAAAGCTCATGATGCCATCTACATGTTTTGTTAGTTTTTAAGGTGCTACTATTTGTTGTTTTTTAGATTTTTCCTGTTACAGACTAACTCGGCTACCCCTCTGAAGCACATGAGTATAGTCAGTCAGTCCTGAGAACCATATTTTTATGTTTCTTTCCACAAATGCCAGCCTCTTCCCGTATAATAGTCATTTTTCTCCATGAGGAACTCTGTTAATTGTACTAGAGATATTTTCTAATGACAGATTCAATTTTTGACTGGATATAAGATCAAGGTAATGGTGAGAAACATTTGGTTGCTGCATGAAAAAGAATGTACTCTTGAGTTTATGGAACTGTGCTCTACTTAAACCTTTTTTTTCTACTTTCCAATTAAGTACAAGATTTGTAGACAGTAGAATCATTGTCTAGTTCCATTAAAACAATGTATTTCTTTCCATTTTCTTGTATCATTTATATCGTAATGAAAGTAACGGTGCGGGGAGACTGTATATACTACACACTGGGATGTGACACTAGCAAATCAACTGTGGAAATTAAATTAACATTCTTTGGCTCCCGCATACAAAGGCTTGTGGAATAAGAAGCAATGAGAAACATGCAGCTCTATTTTGTGACCATGTACCATAATGAATCCGAGTAGCATGTTGTTTCTACTCTATTTACTGTCACAATAATTCTGCCTTTGACAAATTACATACACATGCATATTTCATTTACTCTCTGACTCCCAGACTGCACACACACTACTTGATGTTCAGAACAATTCCCTATCAGCAAGCTGTTAAAGAATTCAGAGATAGACATTTAAGTGGCGGTGGCGTTATGGGAGAATTAAGTATGGCATAACTGCAGCCATTTTGTGCATTCACCACTATTAGTGAAAAATCAAATACCACACAGTTAGGAATAATTATTAGGACTCTGAGAAAAGGCCAAATAGATGCATAATTGCAGTTTTGCTAAATTGAATGGGAGGAGGATGTGATGGAGAGTTAATGGACCATAAGAATGGAAGGGAGTGTTTGGATAGTCGATCATGGTTTTGAGTTCCCCTGACATTTAAGTTTTATTGTTATGACTAGAAATATTTTAAATGCTTTACTGATAAAGGATGATGAGCAATTTGCTGAAGCTAGGAGACCTGTAGATGTACTAGGAGTCACTAAGAGTTACTAAGAGTAATATGCTTTAAGTTAGCTATAAAAGATTAAAATTTGGAGCAATTTGAAGGAGCTTTATTTTGAGTCGAGACTGATTTCTTCCCAGAAGTTGGATGGCCCCTTGGAAGCCTGGCTACTGATCACTCAAGACCTTCTCAGACTTTGGGTAACTATGTTTGAGCCTGGGGTGTTCTAAAATGATTGTCATGGCATTTGTGTGTGCACTTGACAGTCAGTACAGGTAGAGTTTTGGGTGAAAGCACTCTTGTTTGTACCAATCATCCATCAGATGGAGGAGCTGTGACCCCATTTATTTATTCCTGACACTGCCTGGAGGAAACAGGTTAAATTACCACAGCTTTGGGTTCTGAAAACCCTGGGTAAGAGTGATAATGGTTTGTGAGGATTTGTTAAAAGAAATATACAGAGTGGTCACCATAAAATTGTTGACATCTACTGTTCTAAGATAATTAGCATCTCTGTGGCGTTGCAGGTATTCCCTTTACTATCACTGATTATTTGCACGTGGTAAATGTTATGACTTGGCTAAATGCTGACAAAGAGGATTTATTATTTTTGGCTAGAAGCGTGTACAAAATAAGGGTGTACAAAAGAGTAGGAATAGAATCACTTAGGATGGGACTATAACAGGGAGTAGCGAGGGGCAACAGGGTAAAGGAATTATAGAGACTGAATATCAGGTATCATTTTCTTAACAGCAAGATTTCCATTTTGTGGAATGGTCATCCAAAGGAGTGATAGGAGACCCATAATTTTAAAACTGTCACTGGATAGTAGAACATTTGAAAACATTCTGTAGGGAACAACCATGCCCAGCTTGGTCCCTAGTAATACAGACATAAATTATTACTGTTTAGGCCTTCATATTTACAAATATTATCTACACCTCACAACACCTCAGCGAAGCACACAAAGGAATGATTCCTATTTATGGCTGTGGAAGCTGATAGTTGAAAGAGGTTAAATGATTTGTCCAAGGCCTCAGAGGGAATCTGTATCAGACCTGAATTCAAGAATTCTGGGTGTCCAGACTGAACATGCAGATCACTAGAACATACCTCTCCCTTTCTATCTCATTATTCTTTTCATTCTTCTCTTCTTTTTCTTCTAATACAATAGGGCAATCTGTTGGAAATCAAGCTGAAAGAAGTCACTTCTTACACTAGGGCTGGGTAGATGAAAAACAATGAGGAGTTCTGGGGCACCTTAAAGACTAACAGATTTATTTGGGCATAATCTTTTGTGGGCAAAAAAACCACTTCGTCAGCTGCATCTGACTAAGTGGGTCTTGTCCCATGAAAGCTTATGCCCATATAAATCTGTTAGTCTTTAAGGTGCCACAGTCCTTCTTGTTGTTTTTGCAGATGTAGACTAACATGGCTATTCTTGTGATAGGTAGAGAAAATGTCTCTGAACTTCACACAGCTGAGGGGGAAGAGGAAGCGTACAAGTAAAATGTGGGCAAGGCTCTTGAGGTATACACAGACCACACAGAAGTAAACAGTGCTAGAGATCTCATGAGAAAGCCTGCTTTTATGAGAGATTGTTTCAGAGCCAGATTAAGTATGGTTAAGATAAGCGTATAAACTTTCAATTAATTTATTTGAGGCTACAAACATTGCATAGCTTGATCAATACTAGTGTTAATATAAAGGAAAACAAATGTCTAATTACCAGTATGGTGGCTTTAGTTTTCACTAGTTACCTTTCAGATGTGACTCTGATTCGTTCATCATTAGATGATTGTTGTTCATCTTCTTTTTCCTGAAAATATTCCTCAACACATTGCTCTTCAAATTCATACAATTTCTTCAGCTCTTCATCATTCAGAAATAATTCTGCATAAAATTGTAAGATGTATTAATTGAATTGCCCAAACTCCTATAATTTTACATCCAGTATAACTGGTGGGGATTTTCCAAAGAGCCTTTTTAGATATTTGGAGGGAGGGAGTGAAAGAATTAAAGGTTTGTTTCTGAAATCCTTGCTTGGGCACTTAAACAGGCAATCACCACTAAATCAAATTCCTGAGGGCAACTTACTCAGCCAATCTGATTGCTTTTTTACACAAGTCTTTTTTTACCTCTCTTTAGAAAGGGATGCCATCACATTCAGCAGATAAATCCAATGGATCTATTTTTTTTCCACTAACAAACTTAGGGTAAAGACTTCTCAAAAATTGCAATTATTTTTTAAAAAAGGATAAATAAATCAGAGAAATAAAGCCTCTTGGGAATGTTTCAAGTTATTTTCAGGAAGTGTCATATATACAATTCTTTTGTATCAGGGGGCATATATAACACAAATATAATTACCCACAAACATTTTCCCCATGAAAAATAAAAACCAGAACACATTAAAAATACTAAATGAATGCAAATGCCTGTTTATTACATCTGTTTTTTCTTCTTAATATCATGTTTAAAGTAATAGTTACAGAGCTCTTCCATCCAAATAGTAGAAGAAAATAGTCACAACCAAAGGATACAATTAAAAATGAACACATATAATAGCATGTCAGACATCTACCCTTCCCCACCTCTAATATCATTAACTCACAGGCATTCACCTTCCTTCTCCCCTCCTGCATCCTCCTTCTGTTCTGAAATGTGATTTGTCCTTTTCATATGTGTTCATTTTTTTTAATTGTATCTTTTGGTATATATGGTTGTGACTATTTTCTTCCACTATTTGATCTGAGGAAGTGGGTCTGGCCCACGAAAGCGCATCATCTAATAAACCATCTTGTTAGTCTTTAAAGTGCTACATTGTCCTGCATTTTGCTTCAGAGAATGTTACATATAATTCTCACAGTGCTCTTGTGAGATAGGTAAATAGGTTTTAAATATGGGAAAACTGAGGCACAGATATTGTCATACATGAGTTGTTTAAGTCCACAAAGTGTGTCAATGTCACAGATGAGATTAGAATCATAATCACTGTCTCCCCTCAATTTCTTTGTGTCTGACTTCCACATCCTATTCAGCACCTCCTACTGGGTGGCCTTCATTATAATTTGATCAATCTGGACTAAACAGATGCCAAGATAATAGGGCTTGCCACTTTAAAAAATGTTAAGGAAGATCATCAGCAGCAGTAGCCTCATATTCTGTAGGCACAGGAATCTTGAGGCCTCTATGAGTTTATTTGTTCGATTAAAGTGTTGTCACTTTACTGACTTCTACTAATACCTCCAGTAGCCAAGATGAATAACATGAATGGCCATTAGCACTGGATAAATGGCTGTGTTGTGTTTGAAATCGAATAAAGAGCTCTATTTAGAACAGAGAATCCTTCACATACTTAGTCCCCGGTCACGCTCATCCTGGTCCCCTTCTTGTTTCTTCTTACAGCGACAACAAAGGCGGATGATGATTATGTAGAGATGACTGAAGATGATCATAGGTGGAGGCAGGACAGGTCTATCATGGAATGTCATGATCAGCTGATATCGTTGGAATTTCCAAACTTGGTTAGATATGGACTTCACTTCAAAGAAGGTATTGCTGCAAGAGAGGTTATTGTATATTATTTTCCATTAGGCCCCTATGATCCTTTGCCATAAAAAAGCATATAATTAAAATACAAAAGGACATTAAATAGTAATTTGACACGAATTGCTGGGTGGTAGCCTATCATACCAACAGTTATGATAATACCTGGAGGCTCGAATTGGAAGAGACTGTTAGACTGCTCATTAAGTTAAACTGATAATTGATCTATGTTTTTGACTGATAGAACAGCAGCACACTCCTCCCTGGAAGCAGGTTCTCAAACATATTTGATAAGGACCCCCCCTCTTTGTGCCTGTAGTAGTTTACCTGCCCTCCCCACCTCCCAGCTCTGAATGCAGAGCAGAGAGCAGTGGCTGCTGGCTGGGTGCCCAGCTCTGAAAGCAGTGCAATGCCTGCAGCAGCACAGAAGTAAGGGTGCTGATGTGACAGTTGATATTCGTCAATATCACTTTTCATAGCAGATTTAATGCCCCATTGCCACTTTTACTCAGCCAGAGCTTTAAAAAAAGTACCGCCCAGTCCACAGATTGCGCCTCCCTTGACACTCTCCCTTGCTTCCCTTGAGAGGTCCAGTCCATAGTTTGAAAACCTCTATTTCAGAATATTTGTCCAGGGATAGAAAGATTTTCTGCAATCACAGAGAAAAATAAGCTCTATAAAAATATAAATCACTGAACTCTTATTTTGGAGCGTGGTTATAAACAAAGTGTTGCTAGTAGCACTGTGTAGTGCTCAGTGTCAAGGAGTATTAAATGTATGAAAGGCATTTTGTATAATAAAACTCAGAAGCATCACATGGTTTTATTTTAATGCCCTGACTAGCTTGACCTAAATAGTAGACTTTCCCCCAAATCAATCACAAAATATCCTTAATTCAAGCTTCAATTTATACAAGCTTCTCAACTTCAGAACACAACACAGATCCTTTTAAAGAGCTGTTCTTTAGAAGCCAAATAGTTTCATTTTTACTATCAAAGTCAGGTGTGTTGTTAAAATAATATTTTGGAGGTAGAAGGGTACAAAAAGGGACTAGAAGGTGAAACTAACAACTCCCTTATATCAGCTGAAAATAAGTGATGAAATTATGAGTGTGATGTGATACTTTTCAAGCTATTTTAGTGTCTCCAAATACTCGATTCTTATGAAACCACCCTCAATTATATAAGAACTCCCCTTTTCAAAGATATTCTGCCCACTTCTTTTCTGACTTGCTGTGTTTTAAACTACTTACATGCTGTTTCATGCAAGTAACTAAAACATGAGAATAGGTAGATTTATATAACTATTGATACAACTGGCCAATTTGGCTTAATTCTTCTGTCTTCATTGCAAGAGTTCTCTGGCTGAACGTTACTGTCTGTCATCACACTGCTGACAGGAATTAACAGCATGCCCTACTTCCTAAATTGCCGATTCTTTGGTATTTTTAACCAATAATAGCTGCCATTGTAATAGTTTTTTTCCAGCTATGTGACTGGCATTTTAGTTCTTTAAAATTCATGACCTCTTAAGCTACCCAACCTCCTACCTACATATGCTTTGTGAAGTACACATTCCTGGGCACGACACGTAAACTAGGTTTCATGTCCAGCAAAATGCTATCTACCTACGCCTGCAAGCACTATAAGGGAGCCCCTGAATCAGAGAGCCCTAGGAATGTAGCAGCCAGAGTGGAGCCAGGAGTCTAGCAGTCTGGGATGGCCCCAGAGCAGTGGGCCCTGGAGTGGCAGCACCAACTCCCTTGGTCTTGAAGCTGAGGGGGTCGCTGTGGAGCCATGAGCCCTGCCAGAGGAGGAGGGGGGTAGAGGAGCCCCGCTGCCTGGAGGGGAGCCCTCTGCAGACAGACCCTGGGAGAGCCCAGAGTTCATCAGCAAAGGGGTGGAACTGACCTCCCTTGGTCTGGCAAACTCCCTCATTTGGGACCAGTTAGGTCGTGAGGGTGCTAGACCAGGGATGTCCAACCAGTAGTAGATGTACACCATGCTCCCAACCTTCTGATCCTTGCTATGCAAATGTGCTGCAAAATCCATTGAATCTCTCCATACTCAGCACTTTCCCACAAAATGAAACCTCACCAGTTAGGCTTTATTCATAGCACCCTTCTTGGATATGGCTGGAGGACTTGGCCCAGAGAACAGCACAGAGAAACAAATTGCTTTCGTCAGGAGAAACAACAAAGGATGTCACTGTTAATTAAATGGCAAGCTGTGCTAGCCAGACACTCTAATACACATCTTTGCAAGTTCTGGTGAATTTGTGACAAGCTCTCTTCAGCTTTTCCCATTGTATTCATTTAGTTGGTATATAGAGGCCCAAAGAGTCACAGACATTAATGAGACCCTGTCACTGTCAGTAAATAGCAAGGCTCAGGATTTGATATTCACAAACTTCAACCAGCTTGGTACCACTGCAGTCACACTATTAACAATCCTTTTAACCCTTTATTAAAAGATGCAGATAAAGAAGGAAAAACAGTTCAAGAATTTGAAATGTAAAGTATTAAATAAGGCTTTAATTTTAACAACATTCCTTGCTTCCTTTCCCTTCAACTGGCAAGAATTTTTAGAGTGCAATACTCCCTTACTTGTCTTTTAGAGGGTATTAATCTGGTATTAATTGTCCTTTTTGAGGAAAAAAGGAGTTAACTGAGTTGTTGGAGTTGTTAAAGTCTGATCCAGTTTCTTAAGAAGAAGAAGATAAAAAAAGAGAAACTCTAGAGGGAATGGAACAGAACAGCAAAGAAAGAAAATGTAGTTTTGGCCTCTAGTATTGACTCTCAGGCCAGGTATTCACAAGGCTCAGCAGTTCAGCTTAAGGTAAACAATACTTCACCTTAGAATACATAGCTAGAGTCGGCTTACCTTAAACCGAGCATCACAGCATCCTCACAGCTGCTCCCATTGGCTTCCCTTACTCCTGGCAAGAGCCGGAGTACTGGATAGAGGGGGGAGAGGGAGCGGGAGGGGGGGGAGGGGGGTGCTCTCTGAGTTTGATTTAGTGAGTCTTAACTAGACTTACTAAATGGACCTCTGGAAGATTGATTGCGGCAGCTGCAATCTTCCACAGAGTAAAGACATGGACTCACATGCAAACTCTACTGGAAAAGCACAGACCTAGCCACTGGCAAACTTGTATCATCATTGGGTTGTTTAGAAAATTGCTTTTAGCTGCCTCTTTTTGGTCACAGGCTGACAGATATGCTGAAAAATACACAGTTGTAGCTTGCTAAGCCAGGTTCTTATGGGACACAGAAAAGAGAAGAAATAAAGTAAGGAAGAAATATTGGTGGGGTTACACAGAAAGATAGAAAGTCTCTTATTCACGCTCGTGGCTGGGATTCTTCCAGAGGTGACAGAAGTGGTGATATCATCTGGATCTCTCTGGCTTAGTGTGGTTAGGACCTCTCTCAGGATCAGCAAAACAAAGGCTCAGGGTCCCAGGAGATAGGAGGGATGGTAGCCATGATGGCAAAGCTCTCTTCAGTAGCCAAGTTTTCCCCTCAAAGTTTATCTTGCCCCACATTTTAAAAAAATAATCATAACCCCAAAAGGAAACCGTAAAATAGCCCAGTTTCTTGTTATTTTGTCCACCACTTAAGCCTAATTTCTGACACACCGATTCATTGGTTTCTGGTTCCATGTTGTCCTTGTTTACCAGGCACAACCTTAACACAATCCTAGAATTATGGCAAGATGTTTTTTGTTTGGACTAGTTTGACCTGCCTCTCTTTTTCTTACCCCCTTTCCTGTCACCATTTGTTATAGGCTCTTGTGACATTTTATGAACTTTCACTCACTTTTACAATTGAGCTCACAAGTAGGTGAATTTGTAGGCCCAATTATCACAACATCCCTGACATGTAAACTGATTTTCAATCAAATTCAAGTATTTGTCTCAGAACATTTAGACTTGGATGTATGTGCAAATTCACAAATCGCTATCTATTTGCAAACCTATTGTGTAATTTGGTCCTGTTTTCACAGGCCTTTCACCTTAGTATTAAGAAATTAAGAAAGAGAAGTTAACATTCATAGAGTTAAGTACTTACTTGAAGACAGCAATCAGAAGGTTTACCAGTAGAATGTTTGCTACCAAAAGGTAACAAGCCATGATAGCAGGAGTGAGCCAGGCCCCAGGTATGCATGGAGGGAGACGTTTACCATCCTCATCATAAAGATTATCCCCACAAGGAGCTAAAGAGACAATTGAAGGTTTACTTTTCAGGGTTTGCTTAACATTGAAAACACTGATCATATTTGTATAAAGATTAGATCTGCATAAAATTTGCTAGGACAAATATATACATTGAGAGTTTATTTCTAAATGGAGTTTCTGGGCCAAATTCAGCTGCCAGTTACACCATGTAAATGCAAAGTAACATCCCCTCATAGGCCAGGTTTACTCTAGGGAAGTGAAGGACTAGTCAACTAGTTGACTATCCAATAAGCAAGTGCTTATTGTCACTTCCTCTGCCCCTTGCTGCCTCTATCAGAAAGAAGCAGCAAGGAGGGAGAGATGAGGGGATACTTCAAAGTGGCAGCACCGTGTGTAGCCTGGGGCCACACTCTGAGCTCCACGTGGCGCTGCTGCTTTGAAACACTGCGTGCACCCCTGGGCCAGCTGGGGTGCCCCCAGGCTACACACAGCATTTCAAAGTGGCAGTGCTGCATAGAGCCTGGGATCAGCTGGGGACTCCCCCACTGACCCTGGGCTCCATGCAGTTCTGCCGCTTTGAAACACCACATGGAGCTGACACTGGGTGCCCCACGGCATTTCAAAGTGGCAGTGTTGTATGGAGCCTGGGGAGGAATTCCCAGCTGACTCCAGGCTCCATGTGGCACTGCTGCTTTGAAACGCCACGATCCCTGCAGTGTTTCAAAGAGGCAGCGCTGCATGTAGCCCGGGGTCAGTAGGAGAGTCCCCAGCTGACCCTGGGCTCCACACGGTGCTTCCACTTTGAAATGCTGTGGGGAGCACGGGGCCAGTAGGGGACTAGGACTGCTGCTACACTTCAAAGGCCGAGGCACCCTATTGACTAATTGAATAGTCAATGCAAATTGCATTGACTATTCAATTAGTCAATTATTTGAAATTTAACATCCCTTGTCTACACTGGACCTGGAAGGTCGGTTTAAGGTATGCAACTCCAGCTACGGAAAATGTGTAGCTGGAGTCAGCTTACCTGAAGCCGAGCCATGGTGGCATCCACACTGCGGGAGGCTGACAGGAGAAAATACTCCCATTGGCTTCCCTTAGCATATGTAGGTAGGAGGTTGGGTAGCTTAAGAGGTCATGAATTTTAAAGGAGGAGTACTGGACGCCAGCGGGAGCTGGCCTCAATCATTTGATTTACAGGTATATACTAGACCCAATAAATTAAACGCTAGATTGACCTCCGGAGTATTGATCTTCTGGTAAGTCTCGATGTGCCCTTAGGCTGTGTCTGCACTGCACCCCTTTTCTGGAAAAGGGATACAGATGTGACAAGTCGGAATTGCAAATGCAGCGGGGATTTAAATTTTCCCCACTCCATTTGCATGAACATGGCTGCCGCTTATTTCTGGCTCGGGGCTTTGCTGAAAAAAGCACCAGTCTAGACAGGGATCTTTTGGAAAATAAAGCCTTTTCCGAAAGGTCCGTTATTCCTGATTTTAAGAGGAATAAGGGACCTTTCGGAAAAGGCTTTATTTTCCGAAAGATCCCGTCTAGACTGGCACTTTTTTCCGGCAAAGCCCCGAGCTGGAAAAAAGCAGGAGCCATGTTCATGCAAATGGAGTGGGGAAAATTTAAATCCCTGCTGCATTTGCAATTCCGATTTGTCTCATCTGCATCCCTTTTCCAGAAAAGGGGTGCAGTGCAGACACAGCCATAGTGAATAATTATTCCAGATTTTCAATGCTGATAACGGAGATTAGAATTTAGCTCTTAGGACATTTGGATTTTTTTCCCGATAGCAATATTGAATTTAGGAAGAGATCTTATAAGTCTAAGCACATGTAAACCTTTTAATGCTAAAATAGAAAAAGAACCCTAAAAAGCAGAGCATGTAGCCCATATGGGAAAATCTGAAGTTGACAGAGGGTGAAGAAAGCAGGGCTAGATACACCCTATGGCTACGTCTACACTGGCATGATTTTCCGAAAATGCTTTTAACGGAAAAGTTTTCTATTAAAAGCATTTTCGGAAAAGCACGTCTAGATTGGCAGGATGCTTTTCCGCAAAAGCACTTTTTGCGGAAAAGCGTCCCTGGCCAATATAGATGCGCTTTTCCGCAAAAAAAGCCCCGATCGCCATTTTAGCCATTGGGGCATTTTTGCGGAAAACAGTACTGTGCTGTCTACACTGGCCCTCTTGCGCAAATGATTTGCGCAAGAGGGCTTTTGCCCGAATGGGAGCAGCACAGTATTTCCGCAAGAACACTGACGATCTTACATGAGATTGTCAGTGTTCTTGCGGAAATTCAAGCGGCCAGTGTAGACAGCTGGCAAGTTTTTCCGCAAAAGCAGATGATTTTGCGGAAAAACTTGACAGTCTAGACACAGCCATATTGTGTTCAATGGTGCAGGGTCATTCATCAGTGAGATTTAAAACCATACAGGGACAAACAAGGGAAAGAAAGAAAGAAAGAAAGAAAGAAAGAAAGAAAGAAAGAAAGAAAGAAAGAAAGAAAGAAAGAAAGAAAGAAAGAAAGAAAGAAAGAAAGAAAGAAAGAAAGAAAGAAAGAAAGAAAGAAAGAAAGAAAGAAAGAAAGAAAGAAAGAAAGAAAGAAAGAAAGAAAGAAAGAAAGAAAGAAAGAAAGAAAGAAAGAAAGAAAGAAAGAAAGAAAGAAAGAAAGAAAGAAAGAAAGAAAGAAAGAAAGAAAGAAAGAAAGAAAGAAAGAAAGAAAGAAAGAAAGAAAGAAAGAAAGAAAGAAAGAAAGAAAGAAAGAAAGAAAGAAAGAAAGAAAGAAAGAAAGAAAGAAAGAAAGAAAGAAAGAAAGAAAGAAAGAAAGAAAGAAAGAAAGAAAGAAAGAAAGAAAGAAAGAAAGAAAGAAAGAAAGAAAGAAAGAAAGAAAGAAAGAAAGAAAGAAAGAAAGAAAGAAAGAAAGAAAGAAAGAAAGAAAGAAAGAAAGAAAGAAAGAAAGAAAGAAAGAAAGAAAGAAAGAAAGGCAAATAAGTGAGAAGATACCTATAAAGGGGGCAAGCAGGAGTTCTGGAAGTCATGGCTTTTTAAGATGTCTCCAGGCAGGCACTCCAAGTCACTTATTGCTTTTGAAAATATTGGCCCGTGAACCATGTTTGAAAAGTAAAGCCTCATTTATATGGGTACAGCTAGACTACATCTGTTTGTCGGAAAAAGCTACGCAAAATGCGCTCTGCATTTTACGTAGCTTTTTCCAATACTTTTGTTGGAAGAGGCTTTTCTGACATTCGGTCCATCTATACTGGGCCAAATGTTGGGAAAAAAACCCTCTTTCAAAAGCCCACTTCTTCCTAGCAGAACGAGGAATGCAAGGTCTTCCGAAAGAGCGTGTTTGCTCTTCCATAAAAAAAAGCAGAAGAGCAAACGCATTCCCTGGACGTGGTGGAGTTTTACAGGATACCTCCGGTATCCCAACTCCCCGAACCCCCGCAGTGTAGCTGTACCCAAAAATAGGGTAATGGGCTCTATTGGGGTGTGATTTCTAAAAGTGCCCCAAAATGCTGTACATTAATTAATCTCTATAGACCCTGCTAGTGTGCATCAAAGATTCCCCCTGCTGTGTTTTAACTGGTTGAACCAGTACTACATTCAAATGCACTAGTGCAGCGGTTTTCAACCTTTTTTGCTCATGACTCAGTTGAAGAAAATTGTTGATGCCCAACATAATTTGACTGTAGTGTGGGCTCCAGAGTGGGGCTGAGGCTGAGAGCTTTGGGTGTTGGAGGGGCCTCCGGCTTTGGGGGTGTCAGGATTGTGGCAGGAGGGGCTTACTTTGAATGGCTCTTGGTCATCAGTCAGTGGTACAGCAGGGTGCTAAGGCAGCCTCCTGCCTCTCCTAGCGCTGCAAACCATGCTGTACCCCAGAAGTAGCCAGGAGCAGGTTCCCAGTCAATGGGAGGGCAGAGCTAGTGCTCAAAGCAGGGGCAGTGCATGAATCCCTGTGTGCTCTCCTGCCCCCACCTAGGAGCTGGGTCTGTGGCCAGCTGCTTCTGGGGCCCAGTGCAGTTTGCAGTGCCAGGAGAGGCAGGTAGCCTGCCTTAGCACCCCATTGGTCTCCTGATCACGCTGCAGCAATGAGACCAGAGCCTCTGGCTATGTCTAGACTGCAGGATTCTTTTGGAAAAAGCTTTTCCAGAAGAGATCTTCCTGAAAACTTCTTCCAAAAGAGAGCATCCACACTGCCAAAGCATATCGAAAAAGCGATCTGCTTTTCTGAAAGATAGTATCCACACTGAATGGACGCTATCTCGCATTTAAACAGTGATTACTATGGACGGAGTGGCCATCAGGGCACCTGTGCTTTTTCCTCTTTCCTCTTCTTCTGAAAGAACTCCCTGTTCCCTGTCTACACATGCCTTTTTCCAAAGGAGCTCTTTGGAAAACGGCTTCTTCCTCATAGAAAGAGGATTACCAATGCCGGAAAAACCCCTCTGTTCTTTCGAGAGAACGTGATTGCAGTGTGGACGTAATTGAAGTTTTTTTGGAAAAACAGCCATTAAAAAAAAAAAAACCTCTATAGTGTAGACATACCTTGATATTCCATGACCCAGTACTAGGTTGTGCCCCATAGTTTGAAAACCACTGCACTAGTGCTTGCCAGCAGGTCTACACAAATCAATCAATGTCCAACAAGTTGGTACAATTTAGAAATCACACCCCTGTAGAGTGCATTACCTCACCACTTAGAGAAGCCCTAAGTTTGCTCTTACTTTTAAATATAGTTCCAGTTAATTTGGTTTCAAATGTGGGGCTTGATCCTGCAAACACTTACCATTAGTAGAATGGTTCACAGTGGCAAGTACCCTTCCACTGAAATGTTACAATAGATACTACGCCCAGCAGTAACTTTTTGCAAGATTTGGTTTACAAGCATAAACTGAACCAATTTATTTACAGGTGTTTACAAAAAACAAACTCTCTCAACCTCTTTTGAAGGCAATTTTTAAAGTGATTTGAAATCAGCATGGTGCTGTTTATACTTTCCAAAAACCATGAATTTATACCTAGTTTAGCCAGAACCATATTTAAGGAAAGATAAGATTTGGTTTCCAGATAGGGCACCAAGTTATACACTAGTTCTGTATTTCTGGTGATCATGTGGAAACTGGAAATGGAAAGTCAAGTTCATCTAAAAACACAGATTGCCATACTAGGTTATAGATGTTAATGCAGAATTTTGGTAATTAAAGAAAATTAAATTTTCTGTATGACACATCTCATCTAATATAATTAAAAAAAGAATTGCTGTGGTAGTAACTCAATAAAACAAGCACCAATGTTAGCCCTGGATTGCAAATCAATAAAGTAGTACTCAATCAGTTTTTTTATTTAAAAAATCCTCTGCTTCTTTGACACCTGAAATCAGTTCAGTAGTATAACTAATCTGACACCTGAATGTCATCATAACTCTATAATTAAAATACCAATATCCAGGTAAGAAAAAGACGAATGAATATTGCTAAATGAGATAATCAACTCCACACATAGACTTACGATTAATTTCCATGGCATAGACTACACAGCAAGTCGAAAGCAAAAAAAGGAAAGAAAACAACAGAATAGTAGGGTGGAAAAAGAAAACAAATGACTGACAATACAGTAGATGTTTTGCTGCCATGAAAAGATAAGCAACTTAGATATAGGAACAGTGGAGTCATATGGTTAGAAATAATGGCTTTATTAGAGTACATTCTGCAATTTCCTATTCACTTTGTCTTTCTCAAATGCTACATATGGCAGCACATTTTTATGACAATAAAAATAAATCACAAAATGCTGCTGGCAGATGATCATTTAAATATACAAGATATTTCAGTAAACACAATTGACAGTCATCACAAACATAAAACAACACAAAGTTACCATGCAAACGTAATCTTTCAGCTATTATGGAAACGAATTTCCTCCTGTTTCCTGGAAGCAGTCCTGGCATTGACTTTGCTGGCTGCTTCCTTTCCTATTATATTCTATATTAAAATGATCAAGAGCTCTGATATTGATATATTGCTGAAGTATTTAATATAATCAAATCTACTTTAATTATCATTCTGGGTACTGGTGTACCTGTCAAAATCTTTCACAGGGTTACCCTATTTATAGGTCCTCCTGCTCCTTATGAACTTGATCCTGCTAAGTATCAGAAGTATTTCTGATTTTGTGCTCATATGGCTCTTTTAAATTGGAACACTGGAGTCAATTTCCTCCTTCGGACAAAATCCTGGCTCCACTGAAGTCAATGGCGAAACTCCCTTTGACTACAATGACACAGGGTTTTATTTTTGAAACAGAGTTGGGACAAAGGAAATCAGTAAACCAATAGATTTTACTGAACTGAATGGAAAATTGATGATACTTTTTCATAAATAAATCATTCACACCTCAGGGTGCTAGCAAAAGGAGCTCATAGTATCTGACATATTGGTTGGATTGGATTGCTTACTGTAGTCATACAGTCAGGTGAATTGTGAAGGGGAACTTACTTACAGTTGTAGAAAGATTAGACTGAAATCTATAGTTTTTGAACGCAGAATGGTTTTAAGAAAGTAGGAACCTATGGGATTGTCTACACAGGAAAATTATACCCATTTAAGGTAAATGTGTGACTCTTAAACTGATATAATATAATTGGTATAACTCACCATATGCATATTCTTATTTCAGTGTAAAAGTGCTTTTTTTTGTCCGATTTTGCTTGTATCACTTAGGAACTGGTTTAAACTAAGCAGAGTCATACCACTCTTATTCTGAAATAAGGATTCACATGGAGAGTTTCAGAAGAGTAATTACATTGGTTTAGTTATACTTGTATAACTGGAAAAATCTCTTGTGTAGATAAGCTTTGTATGACCTAGCCTGAAAGATTGGGGTTCCCCAGAAAACCTTTCAACTAGAATTGTCCCACAGTAGGAGTCTATGGAATGTAGTTTACAATTGAAAACAGATCAGAACTGGGACAGTGCACATTAAGCTGAGGTGCAGAGAACAATGTGGCTACGTCTACACTGGCACCCTTTTCCAGAAATGCTTAAAACGGAACAGTTTTCCGTTATAAGTATTTCTGGAAAAAGCACGTCTACATTGGCAGGATGCTTTTCCGGAAAAGCGTCCGTGGCCAATGTAGACGTGCTTTTCCGGAAAAAAGCCCCAATCGTCATTTTCGCGATCAGGGCTTTTTTGTGGAAAAGACTACTGTGTTGTCTACACTGGCCCTTTTCCGGAACAGTTTTTCTGGAAAAGGACTTTTGCCTGAACGGGAGCAGCATAGTTTTTCCGGAAAAACAATGACGATTTTACATTAGATCGTCAGTGCTTTTCGGGAAAAGCAAGCGGCCAGTGTAGACAGCTGGCAAGTTATTCCAGAAAAGCGGCTGCTTTTCCGAAATAAGTGGCCCAGTGTAGACACAGCCTGTATGTTTTGGTTGACTTTTGAGAAAACAAACATGACCGAATAGGAATTCGCTGTTGCTTTTAATGTGTTCAAGGTGAACGGGAATCTGTGTACATATAGTGAACCACATAGACTCTAGGAATATACTCAATCTGTGGCCTACTATTTCCTTCCAACGTGAGAATCAACCCATCTAAGACAAAGCCCAACTCATCCAGACTACTTAGAAGCTGGGAAAGCCCATAATATGTAACTGGGTTAACCCAATTATTTCCAAGAACAATTTCACATGTTGTAAATTACACTAATATAATAATTTATGAGGAAAGGGTGTCCTATCTAAACAAAACATCACTACAACAATGTAACTGCAGGACCAGATTAATGGCACGACCCCTATAGCCATGTTCTCCCTCCCATGTGACAGGGAGTTATGGTCACTAATGATTAAACCATAGAAACCTGAGCATAACTGGACAAAAACAGAATGTAAACAATTACAAAATAATGTAGAATGTAAGTATCTGATTAAAACACAATCAAACGAATTTAGAGTTAAGGCAGAAAGTCTATGGCAAATTAAGTTCACTTGACTGATATATCGAGGTTAGCCTATATATTGCCAAAGAGTGGCTGATCTTACTAAAGGTTACATTTTGTCTTCAGACAGAGGTGCAAGGTGATCATAATGAGTTCAAGGTGGCCAAATAAGGCTGTGACCCTATCAGAGTGGAGAGGATGGAGATATGATATATTTGGGAATAGTGCTCTCCCTTTTCTCTTTGATGGATTTTACTCCCTACTCCTACTTAACTCTATTTATCGTGATCAGAAACGAACTTGAATGGCATTATTGCACTAGATTACATCATTCTTAACGTCAGTATGATGCTGAGCCATGAAATCAGAGCAAAGGGTCACTTTGGTAATATTACATTTTGTAAGCTGTCCAGACAGGATTTTCACTTATTTTTTATTACAAATAAGGTGCCACAGGACTCCTCATTGTTTTTGCAATACAAACTTACACGGCCACTCCTCTGAGACTGATCACCTAATCTATTGTAGGAACATGTGTTTTAAACTTGGTAGTGATTGGGGGTTTGGAACAGGTCCCATATGAGGAGAAGCTAAAGCGACTGGGACTTTTAAGTTTGGAAAAGAGGAGACTGAAGGGGGATATGATAGAGGTCTATAAAATCATGAGTGGTGTGGAGAGGGTGAATAAAGAAAAAATATTAATTAGTTCCCATAATATAAGGACTAGAGGACACCAAATTAAATTAATGGGTAGCAGGTTTAAAACTAAAAGCAAAAGTTCTTCTTCACACAGAGCATAGTCAACCTGTGGAACTCCTTGCCAGAGGAGGCTGTGAGGGCTAGAACTATAACAGAGTTTAAAGAGAAGCTAGATAATTTCATGGAGGTTAGGTCCATAAAAGGCTATTAGCCAGGGGGTAGGAATGGTGTCCCTGGCCTCTGTTTCGCTTTATCATTGTCTTTGGTCCACCCCCTTTGGGGCACCTAGTGCTGGCCACTGTCAGCAGACAGGCTACTGGGCTAGATGGACCTTTGGTCTGACCCGGTACTTATGTTCTTATGTAGCGACCAGTATGCAGGGAGATGTGACCATGACCACCCTGCCCTTCATATATTACTACAGGGAGAGGGTGATGAACCAACTAGGTTCAGGAGTAACTCAAGGACAGGCCTGCTGATGGGGAAGGTCAGGAGGGCAGTTGTCCCAGGGCCTGGTGATGCAAAGGGGCACAGGAGAGTGGCTGGAGCCCTGGGCCCTTAAAATCACTGCCCAAGTGCGGCGCAGCTCTGAGGGCACAGAGGGCTTGTTGCTCTGGCCCCATCCCTTCTGCCGGAGGCTCTGCTCCTTCAGGGAGCATGGAGCCTGGCCTCCCTTCCCACCTAGCCTAGTGGCCCACGGAGGCTGTCAGCTCCCCTGCAGAAGGATTCTCTCTTCTTCAGCCATCTGAGGAAGTGGAGCATCATAAAAGTGATAGTCTTAACCTCCAAGAAGGGGGAGTGTTTCAGACTGCATCACTCTCCACAGTAGCTGAATTAGAATATGTGCTGACAGGCAGAGGGTTTCAACTCGTACTCTGGTAGGAAGGAGGAAGTGATGCGTGGAAGTCTGGAATCTGCAACAAAAGCAACCAAAGACAAACACACTAATTCCAAATTAAAAACAGTCATTTTCATTAATTTGGATCTGATCATCTGCCTCAGAAACAGGAAACAGAATCTTACTATGAATTCTACTCTTACGGTCTATCTGGTCTGCAAACACCTCTCCATAGATCATCCAGTAGGGCATATAGAAGATGTTGCGGGCTAGTCTCCAAGACGGTTCCTCATCTGGGTGCAGGATAGCTTGGCGGGCTACTCCAAAACTCATCAGAACCACAAGCATGATGACCACAAAATACAGCATGTCAACCATCTGGACAGAGGCACCACACAAATATTTGTTATATTCAGAAGATTCATACAAGAAATAACATGCCTATTTGAGTGTGTAGAAAAAAATACCAAGAATGATTCATGAGACTAAAAATAATTCCCCATACTAGTTGTTCCCCAGTTATTATACTGCTCCAAATACTGCTCATGAGCTGAAAACATATCAAGTCTAGGGAAACAGCACCCAAAATGTATTTAAACAGGTAATATGTTTTTCAACTAAAAAGACTATCAAACTATCTGGCTTTACAGACCAGTTTCTCTCTGCACCAGGGACGCTTTATCTTACTCTGCCGACAGATCTTGCCTCAACCTAGCAGAACTGGACACAGTGTTAACTGTTAGATTAAAAGCATTCATGTGCCTGGCAATCTCCTGCTGTTATAATGGGCAGAAGTCAGTTCAAATCAGAGCAGCCTTCAGGGCCCCAGGATCCGGGGTGTGTAAAGGTGGCTTAAAGTCACCTTTGCAGCACCTCTCCTGAGAAAGATTGCACACTCCTCAGTCCCAGTGGAAGTTTAGGGCATATGTCCTTTTCTATGCCTTATATGGTATGGTGTACATTTATGGTGCCATGGAAATGTATAACAATAACAACAGCAGAAAATAAATAATGTACTTATTTTCAGAAAAAGAAAGCAGAGTGAGTATCTTCATGTAAGTGCTGGACCAGTGACAAGAGTATATATTTGAACTCTTTCTAGCCATGCTTTCCCTGAACACACAGGGAGTGACTTATTGTTGGACAGTGGCTCTTGTTAAAATTCTGCCACTGACTTGAAGGGAAAGATGTGATGCTTCTCTGCTGCCAGGTTGGTGCTTGCCCTCTCCCCATGCCGGCACAAACACTTCCAAAGCACAATATTTTGGACGTTGGAATGCACCATATTGCACCAGGTGAACAGTATTTTCATCTCTAAGTGCTAAAAGAAGGGCCTCATTCCGCTCAAGTTGAATGCTCCTCTGTATCATGAATATACTCAATATATTTACTAGGCTCAAAAGGCAAAACATAGGCTTCAGCAAAGTTCACATTAGCTGAAGTCTGTGTTGAAGTATATTCATCTACTTGGGAAATCAAGTGGACTTCCCCAGAGCTGCTCACCTCCTCCTCGTGAGTATGTGTGTCCACGTATGCTGGGTTTATTACAGGCTCAGAAGGATAATTTTACGGGAGCCTATTCTTACAGTATTGGCAGCACAAATTAGTTCCATTAACTCAGGGGTGGGCAATAATTTTTGCACGGGGACCACTTACTGAATTTTGATACTGGTCAGAGGCTGGCTCCACTCCCTTACCCCCAGGAAGTGGCAGGGTCTGAGGTGGAGGGAGTTGTCTGTGGCCTGAGACTTTGAAGTAAAATCAGAGCAAAGTGGGGCTCATGGCCCCACCGCTACTGCTACTTAAAGGGCTTGTGGCCCTGGCCTCTGCCCTTGCCAGAGTAGTGCTGCGACCAGGATTCATGAGCCATTTAAATAGGATCCTGCTGCCTGAGCCACTTCCTGGAAATTCAGTGGCACGGGCAGCAGGATAAATAAAAAAAGGCCAGATGCAGTCCACAAGCTGGATTAAAGTGTTAGGTGGGCCGGATTCTGCCTCTGGGCCACATCTTGCCCAATTCTGCATTAACTGGAAGGGGGTTTAACACTCTGCTTTGATAGAGGGAAGCCAGTTTGGCACTGGTATTATGAGCCACAAGCCCCAGGCAACCACTACAGGCAGTCCCCGGGTTACGTACAAGATAGGGACTGTAGGTTTGTTCTTAAGTTGAATCTGTATGTAAGTCGGAACTGGCGTCCAGATTCAGCCGCTGCTGAAACTGATCAGTTTCAACAGCAGCTGAATC